CCCATAGAAACATAAAGGTATAAAAATGAGAGTAAACTTCGGTTTGACACTTTTGAGGTGACTTGAATCCCTTGAAGGCTGGCAATAAAGCTGAATTTGCTCCTACTCAGTGTGGTCGGTGGTCTGTCCGGAGACACCCAAGCGGTCAGGCTTCATTACTTTCAGTGTTATTTCCAGGGCTGTTGGGCAAGACAGCTTAAATATGCTCATTTGCTGTCATTTTAGGGAAAAATATGCTCCATGGAAGGGTTCTCCTTGCCCAGGATTTGGCAACAAGGATCTTTACTTGAGAATATAAAAGCATTAAATTCATCACATATTAAGAAAGCCACCAACACTTGGGAGGCCTCAGGACTCCCACACATATGACAGAACTGATCTGGACACTGACCCTGCATCTCAGCCCAGTCTCGCCTCTCCCCACCTGTACCTGCTGGTGTCAGGTACCGAGGAGGGAGTGCTGCTGCCTTCCCATGGGCTACTTCCTGGAAGGAGCTCACCCCCACCCTGGCCCCTGTAGGGGAGAGGTGATGCTTTCTTTCCACCTTAGGAAGCCATAAGAGAACATCAAGAAAACTGCTGGTAAAGAATGAGGTTGGCATCAGGACACAGTTTTTAAAGGCTGAGGCGGTGGTGGTGGGGGTCACAAGTTTGAACTCAGCTCAGGCAGCTTAGCAACTTAGGCAGACCATGTCCCAAATAAAAACCAAAAAGAAAGGGCTGGGGATTTAGCTCAGTGGTTTCGCTGCCTGCTGCACAAGCGCAAGGACCTGAGTTCAATCCCCGGTACCAAAACAAAAAAAAGGTTGGGGAGCTGGGAATGTAATTCAGTGTGAAGACCTGGGGTTCATTCCTCAGTACAGAAATGGAAAGAGAAAGATGCATGGTATGACTGCATCCTATTTTGGTTTGGAATTCTGATGCAACAGTGGTCTGGTTGTCAGTCCCTGAGAGGAGGGGAACAGGTAGGAATAGCAGGGCTGCTCTGCCCACTCCTTTCTGCCTTAGACTTGAAGGCAGCAGAGGGAAGAAACAGGAACAAAGGAGTCCCAGTGGGGAACCACCACGCCCCGGCCATTCTGCCTCAGTCTGGGATGGGAGGTGAAATTGACAGGCCAGCCTGGCCCCGGGGGAGGTGGAAGAGTCCATTCCAATCAAGGCTGACTGGGACTTTTTAAACTGGAGTCATTTCACTAACTGCAGTGAGTGGAGGAAAATGTACCCTGCTGGAACTGAGAAAATGACAGCGGTTCCTATTGAGACCTCCTCTCCAATTCAAGACCTCTCTAGGTATGTCTATGCCTACACAAACCTATCCTCCAATCAACAATTCTGAGCTCAAGGTCCCATTTCTTCATAGTCACAAGAAGATCTTAATTTCTCACAACAGTCTTGAGAAGTTTTTTTTTTTTTTTTAAGCCAGGGAAAGCCTGTTTCTAGTAAGGCTGAAGTGGTTTTGTAAGTTCAAGCCTGCTGTGTACACAGGAGCCATCAATGGAGTATGGCCCGCTATCTGAAGTGGAGGTGCAGCAGGTGACAGAGAGAGCAAGCAGGCAGGAGGAAGTCAGGAGTCTGCAAGAGGCTGCAGCCAGCTGAGAGGGGTCTGAGGGGAAACTGAGCAGACACGGTGTGATGACAGCTGTTGGATGTAGATGGGGTATGTGGGTGTTCAGGGTGCAACTCTTCCAACTTTCCTCAATGTTTGAAAAATGTTATAATCTAGTCATGGGTCACTTAACAAAAGGCTATGTCCTAGGAAACGTCTCATTAGAAGATGTCCTTGTGCAAAAATCAGTGTGTTTACAAAACCGAGATGGAGTAGTCGACAGTGTGTGGCACAGCCTGTCGCCCCTGCAACAAACCTGGGCACATTACTGTACTGAACTCTGTAGGCAACTGCAACACCACCCTAAGTACTTGTGCACCTGAGTGTATCTCAACTTAGAAAAGTGATGGTAAAAATACTAGACAACAGGAACTTTTCAGCTCCATTATAATCTTGTGGGACCACTAGTCCTATACGTTGACTATTGTTGACTGGAACATTAATATGAAGTGCAGGATTAGACAACTTTGGGGGGGGAAATCAGAAAAGTGAATTTGACTCCCTCGGTGAAAAGTCCAAGTTATTATTAGGTGTAGTTTTACTCCATACCTTGTATTATATATCTAGTTTACCCCACTATCTTGCTGAAGTTCATTAGGTTTTGTGTTAGAATAAAGCGATTTATCACTTATATGTCCTGATTTATTTTCAATGACTAAGAAATGTTTTTCTCTTCTGTTTTAATTGCTTTAGCAGTCACACAGATTGATTAGAAAGTGTGGCTCCTTATGTTTGTATCCTGAGTCAGCCACCACAAGGTGGCCAGAAAAAAATCCTTTGAGAGATTTTCATCTCTTCCCTTGAGTTTTTCAACTAATTGTTACAGACGAGCAATTAGGAAAAACAAAACAATAAAACTGCCAAGTATAACAGATCCAAGTCTTTTCCACTGTTTGCCAGTATCTTTCCATACTATCAATATTGACAGTGGAATTCCCAGATCTCTCTTCAGTTCTTTATATACACAAGTTTCTAAGTTTCTTTGGAAAATGAGAAGACCAAGGTGAGAGATCTTAGAGGCTGCTTAGCTGATTTCCCCACATCAAGTACTAAGATAAAGATACACTTCTTTTTAAAATCAAATATCTTTGACCAACCTTGGCAGGCCATTTTATTCTCATATAAGTAACAGACATTTCGTTACTCTATTTACAAAAGTGAAAACACTCCAGAAACAAGCAAAGCCTTCGTCTTCTTTCTCCTTGCTTTACTAGGTCAGGGGAGAGGGGAGTGACGGGAGGCCTGGCTGCAGGCAGGAAAGACCTTCTGTACTGGCCAAAATATGGAAAGGGGGAAAAGCACCTCCAAAAGCAGAGGGAGACCCCCACACCTGGAATTTAAAAAAGATCATGAATGTGAAGAAAATTGCTCCAGGTGGTTAAGTGTTCTAAAGAACTTCAACTCCTGACCAATTACTTATGATGAGGATCATTAAAGGCCATAGAACTACTATTGTAGTGATCAGTTCTGCAGGTAAATAGCCAGCCAAGTGCCTTTAGGGCCTGGATACAATACAGAAACTAGTGATTTTCTTGGTAGCCAGAGTATGGGTGTGCAGGAGATGGGGGGTGTTCTGGCCACTAATGTACTAGGAAAGGAGGCTTGATATTGGGAGGATCTTGTGAAAATATAGACTGACTCAGAGGTCTGCAGAATGGCTCACAATCCGAGTAGCAAGCCATGAAATAGTGCTAGCCTAATGTAACCTCAAATTAAGCATGCATTATTAGTTTTCTCTTGTAGGGGCAGAAAGGTGTGATAAAATTTCCTCACCCATCATGAGGGTTGGGACCAAAATTCCTGTGACAGAGATAGGTTAACAAGAGAAAAGCGTAACAAATGTATTCAATAAAGTTTTGTGACATGGGAGCCTTCAGAAATGAAGGGCTCAATTCCCAGAGAAACCTGTTCTTATACTTAGGCCTGATGAAGTACGGATGGCCATGTAGAAAAGTGAGGAGGCAAAACAATATGAGCCAGTGTAACAGACAGCAGGGACACCCAGTAAGCCTGTCCAGACTCCTCTCGGCCTCCCTGTGCAGTGCTCCTCCCTCCCTCCTGAACCTGGGGCAGAATCCACTCCAAATGAGGGACTCACAACCCTATCATCAGATATGGTAGGTCATACAGTTTCTTCCTGGGCAGCTCTTATACAAAAGGCAAGGGAAGGTGAGAGTAACATTTCTGGGTTTTATGTCTGGCTTTGAGCGGGGGGAGGTTCTGGTTTCTATGACACACATTGTGGAAGAGGAATTGTAATTCCAGTAGCCCCCTTAGAGGAAAAACAGGAGCTGGAGAATAATGGGCAGCAGAAGGTCAGAAAGATCTTGCTTCTGAGCCCCTTTCTTCTAGTTCAACGTGTTCAGCACGCAATCTAAACTACCACTGAAGCTAGGACAATTTTAATTATATTCATGACAATCCCATTTTTAAATTCCACGTCTTTTATAATGTTATTATGGCTAATCCTTTAAATATTAAACTGATTATGGACAGGGATATTTAAATTATATTTTGTGAAACTGGGTATCTATGAGGTTTTTTTTTTAACAAAGTAATGATTTGTTACTTCATTATTATTCCATACTAGATCAGTATGTTACAATATGGAAATGTTCAGTGAATGAAAAAGGATCCTTCACAGCACTTAACTACACATAATAAGCCATTTAATCCTCTGATGGGGGAGTAAAGCTAAATAAAGAATCTGCCTGTTTCTGAGGTCAGTCTTTTTCTCACCCATTCCTTTTGGATTCCAGTATAAACCTTTTTATTTGATTAGAAAACACAAATAGTACAAATTCATAGCTCTAAGAAAAGGTTTTGTCGCCACCTCGTGGTTGATACAATGATGATCACTTTCTGTATAAATAATTTAAAACCTCCAGCAAGGTTAATTTTTAAAATCATCACAAAAAATTACTTTTGAACCTCCCAGCACTCCTCCACACGTTGTTGGCTCCAGAATGCATGTGATTATCAGAAGGAGGTTGAGAAAGAGAAGCGAGGGGCCTTTCAGGGAATTTGCAGAAGGTGCCCCACAACCCGATGACTTTCTGGAAGGAAACCTGACTCACTTCCGGATGTGCAAGTTAAAGTTTGACTTCATTTTAGCGGACGTTACTTTACTGTTGTGCCAACTGAATTTGCACCCTGCTCACTTACCTACCCTCAACATCGTTCGGAAGGTAACGAGGACTCAAGAAATTTGTACCAGTGCTCCTCTGAATGTGTCTACCAATCTGAACCTGTGCTCTGGGCATGTACAAGGCTTAGTGCGCACAGGAGTCGGAACAAAATTTCATCGTGGGCAATTCTTTGAAATAATCAGGAAGAAAATTAAAGACAAACTTAGAAAGAATTGCATAAAAAGCAAAAAACCATGCCAGAAAAATCCAGGTTCTTTTTCTACAGTTTAATTGAGCTCAAGGAATGAAAAATCCAAGTGCACAAAAACTTGCATGAATTCTCTATTACATAAAGAAGCAAACATACAATCATGATAGCAAATAAACATGCTGAATATTTTCAGGCTATTTTAAATAGTGCCCTGTACATGTACATAAATAAATAATACTGTTTCTCTGTTACCTTTAAATACAGTACCACAAAGTTTCATTATTTTCATGTAATTCAAGTAAATGAGCATAAAGGAATGAGGAAATAGACGATATTTATATCATTTATATTATTGTTTAGCAACAATTCTTATTTATTCCTAGAAAGTAATCTAATAGGCCAAAAAACTACTACAAACCATCTTCCTTTTAGAGTTAGCTGTATTAAGACCAATGGTATCATCTCCACATTTTGTCATAGGCCACAAATCAGTTACAAACCTTCAGCTCATTTAATTATTTAAAGATTTGGAAAACAGGCTAAATTTAAACAAAGCAAAGATCGATATATTTTTATAGTCTATTTTTGTACTTTTCTACAACTTTTTCCCTTAACTGAGTCTAAGCCTGAAATATTCTTTTTACATTCTTTTTGGGTTTTACTGTATCTCAGATTGTTTTAATTGGTTTAAATGCAAGGTGTATGTAAACAAGTCCTCAGAAATGAGAGGCACTTCTTGGAAATACAATGACTCTTGTCACCAGACTAGCAGAACTCTCTATGGTTTTGACTTGATGAACTAAATGAGTTCATGATTCAACTTTCCAACACGGCCTACTTCAAAAAGGCAAGATTCTTATCTGCAACATTTGGTTCCTTAAGATGTGTTAGACGTGTTGTCAGAGATCATAAAATTAAAATTGTGTTTAGTTCTGTAAGAACCTAACTTTAAAAATAAATTACTAGGAGCTCTGATTCATTCCATTACTAACCAGTTAAAATAAATGACCAACCTGAGGCAAGAAGTAAACAAGCAACGTCACTTTTTCAGGCTTTTTAAATGGTCTGAATAGGTGACATTATGCCTATTCCCCAGATTAAACCAGCCTCAATTAAGAGCTAGGAACAAATGCATGAGGCATAGTCTCGAAATTTCTTAATCGTAACGATCTTCAGCTCAGACACATAAAAGGCAAGGAAAAGAAAACAACATCCTCACCCATTCCAGGCCTCCGAGAGTACCCGCATGGACGCCAGCACTCCACATATCATCTTTAGTATCACTGTAAGTAGCGCATACAGATGCAAAGGTGTATAATATCATGCTCGCAAATACTTACTGGCCATGAAACTTCATAAAGAGCTGCATAAAACTCTAGCAGAGAATCCTAAGAGAAGTGCCAGCCACAAGTAAGACACATCTGTGCTACAGGAGCAGGGTAGACAAGGGGTGCACAGGCACCAGGCATGAACCACAGAAAGGAGAATTAAGAATGGTGTTACATTTTCCAAACACATGGCATACACTGAGGACAAAAGTTAGAGTGTATTTGAGGACTGCGGAACCAGCACCTACTATACACACATCTTTGTTCACATTAAAAGGTGTAAGGCCTTTCTACAAGAGCATGCTGTTTGCAGCAGGCTGGTGCGAGAGGTAAGGAATGTTAAGGGAAAATCTGCAAACATCTCAAAATAAAGTCCTGAAAGAAAAAGTCTACCATAAAAAATGTCATATGTTGTTTACTGATTAAAATCTGATTTTAAAAAGGTATCTTACTATACAATCTTGGTGCACTGTTCCAGTCACAAATGTTTCTTGTCCTTGTGCAGTGGGCAGCAACAGTCTACAGGCCATTATATACTTGGAAAGGCAACATGTCAAATTTCTCATTTACGCCGAAGGTGAAAAGATAGGAACAGGGGTGTCAGCAACAACAACAAAACCCACGGTAATTGATTAAAGGGATCCACTACTCACGAAAACACACTAACAAGAAGTAGTCAACCCAAGGTTTTGAAGATAACAAGTATCGACAGAGTGCTCACAGCACAGCTACAGGAACAAGTGGATGTTATTTAGAGGCAGTGAAGGACATGCGCGCAGGGAGCAGGAAGCCACAGAGAAGCACAGCCCGCAACTTCGTCCATGTCCCACTGCCCTCCACCTGGAGCTGTGTCCTCCTCTCCTGCCCTTGTGCCCCACAAGATAAGAAAACCCTGCTCTTCCAAACTGAAACAGACCCTTATTTCTGACTAAGGACAGCAGGATCTGAGTCCCAAGGCAGTAAGTAACTAAACAAGTGCTGCATCTGACTAGTTTCCGTGTTTCTAGCTTATTACAGACCCTTCCTTTACAACTTCTGAAAGGTGACTTCCTTCTGCTTCCTCTTCAGAGAAATTTTAGGGCACCACATATTTCATTCTTGCCCTGCCAAACAGGAATATCCACACTGAAAATTATTTTAATCTCAGTTTAGAGAACTCAGAAGTGGACTACACAATCACCTCTGCATTTAAAGTATCTTTTAAAGAGAGAGAGAGAGAAAAGCATGAAAATTCTCTATGCCATTGTGTCTACTGAGTAAGTAGCTCAGCTTTAAATGACGGCCCAGAACAGAAACTCACATAATTCCTAACTCTGGAAAGAACCGACACTTCTCCTTGGGCATAAAGTGAACAGAAATCTGCTTGCAAAAGGAGAAGACATGGTGGCCAGAAGGGCCTGATTTCAAATGCCAGGATTGCACATAATTTAAAACAGCATGCACTGTTTTACAGACTTATGTGCAAGTGAAAATGGGGAACTAAACCGCCAGTTTTACAAAGACTGGCTGGCATTCCAGAAGTCTCCTTGACTCCTCCCCTGGAGTACTGGTGTTTTAGTCCTTACACCGCACATCACTTTGGTTACTTTTTACCCAGTGGGCTCTCAAATGCTTAAGACTATCAAAACAAAGACACTGAAAGACACCTCTCCTTGGATATAACTCTACCACCTTGTAATGGTGAAGACTCTGGACTCTGAAAAGACCTCTCCTGGGGGCAGGGGTGGGGGGTGGGCGAGCGGTCCAAACAACTTCACTGGCACTCGTTTCGAAATGTCTTAACATTCGCAGCACTGTAGCTTCTGGGAGAGCTCCAGTATTTAGGTATCTGCTGGTCTTCGCAATTCATCGTCAGATGTTATTTTAATTTGTATGAGTTTTGCTTTGCTCCATTTGTTTTGAGTTTCTTCTCACTGGATATTGTTGTATGAGCACAGCTGTTTGCAGTCCCCTTTTTCTTAAGATTCCCATGTGCTTGTGTTCTGCAAGAGTCCAGAATCGTTGCTGGCTGTTCGGGAACTCGGATATTCCCACTGGCTTCCAGTTTGGAGCTGCTGTCGCTGCAAGAAAAATCCCTGTGCTGCATCTTGGTGCTTTTACTGGATTTCTTTTTCTTCTCTTTAGTCCTCATTTCGGGGGTTTGCTGGAGGGGATGTAGCCTGGTGCTGGCCTCAGGGGACCTGGGGGAGGTCTCAAAGGCGTAATAGGATGGACGTGTTTCTTCAAAGCGAAAACCTTGCTTTTGTGCAGGGCCTGACTTTGAAGCCCCTTCCAGGTGAGGCAGCGGCTTGGACAGACCACTCGCAATTAGTTTACTTCTCCCAGGACTTTTCAGAGCCCCGGGCGCCCCCTGGGCTGCCAGAGGTCGGGCCTTGGAGCCCTTTCCCTTCTCACCTTGTACAGTCTGGATCTGCAGCCACTCGAGCTGAAGGAGCCTGTTGATGTACTTCCCAAGGAAGCCCCGGGCTCGGGGCTCGGCCTCGTACTCTGTGTTCAGAAGCACTGCCATCTCCCGGAGGTTCCACGAGCTAAAAGGGGGTGGCAGGAAATCGGGGTAACAGTACTCGGGCTTGGCATGGCTCTGACTTGGGTGAAGATCGAAGTAAATTGGGTCGATTTCCTCAGCTCGAAGATTTAGATCTGGCGGGGTGAGGGGAGGAGGAGGAATCGGCATCCGCTCCGAGTCTGACAGATCACTTGCACTGTCCTCGTCAGCACCTTCCTTAATAATTTTCATTGACTGGAAGTCAAGAAACAATTTGTTCCCTGAGGCTCCCTGGCACATGGAGCTGAGTACATTCCCTTCTGGTTTTCCTTCTGGAAGAAAGCCTTCTTTAAGTTTCTCTGCAGCTGGTTGAGAGACGCCCACAAGGCTGCCTCTCAGCCCGGAAGACAGATGAGGTACTTGGGATTTACTATGTCTTTTTCCTGAAGAATCCTTTGAAAGTTGTACTTTATTCCAAGATGGCCCAGCATTCATATTGCTATGAAAAAGAAAACTGCAGTTCTTTTACTACATATGACAAAAAAATGTAATCTGGCTATGATTAGAGAAACGGAAAAGAATCCTCAGGTTGTACTTTCCGCTATTACTGGGCACTAGAAAAGATAAGACCTCCAAATGCCTTTCACAAGTAGTAGTTTTACAGAACATTTTCCGCATAATATTCTACACATGAAACAGAGTCCATGTGTCAAAAGTAGATGTATGGATCCTATTTTACACTGAATATCAGCATTTGGGAAAATCAGTAGCAGATCATAGTCTGTGTAACTTTAGGCCAGCTGTGTCTAAAAAACATTAATTTGGAAAAACTTTGTTATAGAACTCTTGGTCCATTTCATTAATGGTCAACATCAGAAATAAAACCCACAGCTTTTTTTGTGTATATCCACTTTGAGTTAAATGTAAATATAATGTAAAATGCAAGTTTCACACTGTTTAATCAGTGACTGATGGTGATTCTTGAGCTAGCTAAATTCTTAATATGTAAAAGTATATCATATATGACTTCCACCTTAAACTCAAACCTTATTAATATGCGTTCAAATAGGAAACACTCAAGACAACTGCGTTTAAAAGGATAGAAATAAAAGTCATATGGTACCATTATAATTCAATATGAATGACAAATAGAATTAATTCTATCTTGTGAATGGCAGACAAAGAGCAACAATGAATATTGTGTGCATTACCCGGATAGCAGTATATTCTTTCTGAGGTAATATAGTCTGAGGTAGAATCTCACATCAGAGATTAGAAATTGAAAATGCCTTCTTTTTAATTAATTTACCAAGAACAAATCATTTCACTAAGCTTAGCAATTCTTCTCTGTAACAGAAGTCAGGCAGTGTGGATAGAAATGGGTGGCAAATATGCTTTCTGGAAAGCTCAGAAATCCACTTGCCCAGTAATTTCACCCCCACTAAGCAATTATTTTAAAATGTGTTACCCTTAATAAATATAGAGTATGTTAACCATTGCCAATAGTACAAATGAGCTCAACAAACTTCAATGAAGAAATGAAGGAATGGCCACCATCAAGAATTTACAACTAAGATTGTTAAAACTTTTCTTTACAACTAGCTGTCAGTGTACAACCATAAAAAACAACTACTAGCAGTATCCCTTCTGTATGAGATGAAACCAATATAAAAAGGTGATTAAAGACTTGCACAAAATTGCAGATTCTGCTAGCTGCCAAAATCATGACCTCTGCAAGCTATGGACAAATGTTTTTAAAGCTACTTTGTCCACTCATTTATGCTAAGTGAAAAATATTAATGTTTATTTTTTATCCAAATACATATTTTTTCCAACCACACATATTTAGCCTGCCTGAAGAACTGAGGAAGGATGCCTTTGGCAAGATGAAGAAGTTATGTAAAAACTTTTTACCTGTTTTTCTGATGAGATTCATTCACCCTACTCCTCTTCTTGAAAAAATTACATGGCCGATCATCATCAAAAGTTTGATGAACTGTCTAAAAAATAGACATCCAGTAATAAATACTGTGAATACACACATATAAAACATACAAGAAGAAAAAGGACAAATCTAAGTAAGATGTTCCCTCAAAGTTTACATCACCTTTTCTGTAGTGTTCAAAATATTCTTGCTAGATCTGTTGGAATATGACAACGAAGAAGGTGACTTCTTTACTCCTTTTATATTCGCAAAGTACTCAGCATCACCAGAACTAGAGGCAACAGAATACGGACAGTAAGTACTGATCACACATGGTCCTGTTTCCAGTACTGGGCTGGTTTTGCACTTATGTTTTTTCCACATTTGTACACTACTGAAACAGTGAAGTTGTGACTATACAGTGGTTAGTTCCCTGAACTGTAAAATATTACAGGGGGAATATTGTTTTATATTTACAATTTAGTCTTTTTGGCTTGTTTTCCACAGCAGTTGTTAGCTGTGTGACTCTTACCGCTGTGAATAGATACCATTTCTTTTTCTCTCTTTCTCTATACACACACACACACACACACACACAGGTGCAATTTCCTTGGAAATAATAGGAGAAAATAATATGAGGAAGTCTGGGACATCAACTAAAGACAAGCCTTACTGCAAAGCTCCCATGTCCACTCATTTATTCATTCGTCCAACACATAATAGAGGAGTGCTCAGAAAGTGGCTAGGATTATGCACAAGTCCCTCCTCCCATGGAATTTAAAGTAATAGGGAATTGTCTCATTGAATTGTCCTGTCTTCCCTATCATATTAATCCATTAAATGTCACCAATAAATATACTGGTATATTACCTCATTTCTCCAGGCTGAATTTGACTGGAAAACATCCTATTAATACATGTTACATACTGTATGATGGTCTCTCTTTGTAAACTTTGATCAATTATACCACAGACTGCAGATACTCCTACATCTGAAGAGCCTAGTCCAGGTGCCCCCACTAGAAACTGAATACTTCTCTTTTCCATAATATCCCCTGCCTCTGTAAAATTAAAAATAAGTGGAATTATAGAAGATTCTGTCCTGAAACGTCCCCGTACTTCCCCACCATAATCACGTAAGCTTTTTCAGTCAGCTTACATATGATGGCAAGAAAAATCACAAACGGCTCCTCACAATTAGTTGTAGCAGAAACAACACACCTGACTTGCAGGTGTAAGAAATGTAATTTATTAGCCCTTTTTCATTATTGTGGTTTTCTTTCTTTGTCCCCTGGACAGTAAAAACAAACGTCTGGAAGGAATGCCTGGGCTGAACTAAACTTCCCTCTACAGCGCCCTGGGAGTCTTTCCCCTGCTTTCCACGTGACACCCAGGGCTGTGGCCTCTCCCGGAAGCTCCGGGGCGAAATGAATGCCTGCAGGGCCCTAAGCGTGCAGGGAAGTCGTCTCCGTGGAGCTTCCAGCTTCCACAGAAACGTCCCCGACCCCCAGGAGGCTGATTTTGGCAAGGACAGGACTCATTGCAGGGCCTCAACCCGCTCCAGTCTCCGCCCCGCCCGGGAGCCGGCTGGCCACTGGGCTGGCGAGGCCTCGTGGGTCGTGTGGGCCAGACGCTTCCCTCTGCGCGGAGGGCGCCCGGCTCTGGCTGCGGGTCCGCGACGCAGGCAGCAGCTGCAAGCCTGCCTGCCGCTCGCCTGGGGACCGGCTCCCCGGAGGCTGCGCCGTGCCGCCCTCGCCCTCGCCCTCGCCCCAGCCCGTGCCCGCCCGCCCGTCCGACCCCGTATACACTTCCTCCGCGGGCGCAGACACCGTCCGTGAGCGGCGCGCACGACCCCGCAGACGCAGCAGAAGCCGATCAGACCTGTGGCGAGGCCGCAACCCGCGAGCCCTCAGCGCTGCCTGGCGACTGCAGCGCGCTGCGGCGGGGCGGATCCCGCGGCGCGGCGGCAACGGGCGCGTCACGGGGCGGGGCGGCCGGCCGGGAAGTTGCGCCCCGCTGGTCACAGCCTCGTAAGTAACCGGGGAGCGGGTGGGAGGGGCCGCCTCGGGACGCAGCCTGCCCGCTATCCCTCCGGGGAGCAGAACTTGGGGCGCAGGGGCCCCGGCCGGCTGCGCCCGCGAAAGCTTGCGTCTCGGGAAACGACTTCTACCGCTGCGGGACACGAGGGCTCAGGAGGCTGAGGCCGGCGGCGCCCGGTCCCCGGCGGCGCCGACCCCCCCCAGAGGCGGGACATGTCCGCGGGCCGGGGCCTTGGCTGCCTCTCGGACCTGGACGGTGGTGTGGCCCCGGAGCGCCGGCCCTGTCGGCCACCGGGGAGCCCGGCCCCTTCCCGGGCCCCGGTGCCCGCGCCCTCGGGCTGCGACCCCCGGCTGCGGCCTATCATGCTGCGCCGGGCGCGCTCGCTGCCCAGCTCCCCCGAGCGCCGGCAGAAGGCGGCGAGCGCCCCGGGCGCGGCGTGCGGGCCGGGCTGCAGCCGGCAGCTTCGCGTGCGCTTCGCCGACGCCCTGGGCCTGGAGCTGGCACAGGTGAAGGTGTTCAACGCGGGCGACGACCCCTGGGTGCCGCTGCACGTGCTGTCGCGACTCGCCATCAACTCGGACCTGTGCTGCAGCAGCCAGGACGTGCAGTTCACCCTGCGGTGCCTGGTGCCCGACTTCCCGCCTCCCATCGAGGCCACCGACTTCGGCGAGCGCCTGGGGAGGCAGCTGGTGTGTCTGGAGCGCGTCACCTGCTCGGACCTGGGCGTCAGCGGCGTGGTGCGCGTGCGCAACGTGGCCTTCGAGAAGCAGGTGGCGGTGCGCTACACTTTCTCGGGCTGGCGCAGCGCGCAGGAGGCGCAGGCGCGGTGGCGCGGGCCAGCGGGCGCCCGGGGCAGCGAGGACGTCTTCGCCTTTGGTTTCCCGGTGCCGCCTTTCCTTCTGGAGCTTGGCTCGCAGGTGCACTTCGCCGTGCGCTACCGAGTGGCTGGTGCTGAGTACTGGGACAACAACGGAGGCCGCGATTACAGCCTCACATGTCGCGACCACGCGCTGCACATGCCTCGCGGGGAGTGTGAGGACAGCTGGATCCACTTCATCTGAACGGCGGGCAGCGCGTTTCCCAGCCGGGGTTCAGCTCTGGGCTGTGGTTCCTACATATGTACCTGCACCTACCGGAGTAGCCTGCCCTCTCCTGTTTCCATCTGCAATGTCTCTCTCCTCTAGTGTGAAAGTGCCCTCAGGTGGGCGAAAGGCCGAGGAGGGCAGGAGTGCACTGGGGGCGGGGCTGGGGTGAGGGAGGTGAATGGAGAAGGCCCAGGCTGGGTTTTGTTTTTGTTTTTTCAAGACTCACCTCCTGCTAGGGAAGCCTTTTGCATGGGGCCTGAATCTGTCTCTGTGAACGTAGTTATTATTTATTATTGTGCCCATTGTGGTTACCTTCTCAGCAATATTCTGGATTTAATGAGCATTCGAAAAGTCCCGTTGCTTGTTCATGCCCATTGTAAACAAAATGTGCAGTGTGACCTGCATTCCAGTTCCCCAAGGCAATCCTGCCCGGAACAAGGAAAACCTGAGACTACATTTGCTTGCCAATGTCAGTACCCTTCTAATAGTGGAAACTATTAATAGGCAAGAAATGTATTCCCATCACTCATCACACAGCCATTTCTAGGCTTTGAGGCTGCTCTGGTTGGGCTGCGTGCCTCCTACATCTACAATTGGGAAGAGAGAAAAACTTCAGATTTTTCACCTACCCAAACAGTCCTTTCTGAGTAGTCGTTCCTCACATGTCATGCATTTCTATTGCACGTGTTTGAGGAGTGTGTGTCTGCACTTCATCTGGTCATTCTGTTTAGGTTTTCAAATACCTAAATATTTTAAGGAACCTTGCCTTAAGTTATTTAAATTTTCAGGTGGCTATAGAGTTTTGGGCAACAGTTCCCTTTGCAATGACCTTTTTGACGATTAAGGTGACTTTTTTCTGAAACATCAGCAGATTCCAGCATTCATCTTTCAGAAATCCAGTTACTAAGTGGAACTAAAAGGTATTTTCAGCATTAGCCAGAACATGGGAGGAAAATCACAAATTTTGTACTTAGAGGTTGTTTTAAATTGTATCTATGTCGGGTTTATCAGCTGCCAATTTTATTCTTCGTGCCTTCAGATAGGAAAATTTCTAGCACTTTCTGGACTTGTTTCTCAGTTTTAAAATATTTTTTTGAAACCTCCCATCAGGGAGTCAAGACCACCGTGCGACCACCGTGCTACCACCGTGGTCTCAGACAGCAGGTGCTAGAACGGCGGCATGAAACGCCAGCCCAGGTGCACAAGATCTCCAGGACGTGAGGAGTGGTTATGATAGAACTGAAGCCAGAGCAATGGATTTCAAGATAGCTGTCGCCAGTGAGTCACCTCCACGTTTCTGAGTCCTTGTTGCTATTTGTCCAATCAATATCAAAAGATGTATTTTGCCTTTTAACCAGCTTGTTTTGGGTCATTGTGACCTTTTTGTTTTTCAAATTAGAAGAATGGGAATGGCTTTCTGTGGTACCTTTTAATCTAATGAGCACTGAATTTTGATTTAAAATATTGTGATTCAGTTGCAGAGCATTGGCTCTGGACTGTGTTCTACATTGACATGCAAGAGAGAGAGAAACCTGGTTACATTTCCTGCTGCTCACAGACTGTCCAATTAGGTCAGCAAGCCTGTGAGGGCCTTGGCTGCTCTGCCTTTGGCCCTGCACAGCATGCAAGACTATTCAGGTACACATTCCTGCTGCCAAATACATAGTTTGATGGCCTGGAGAGAATCTCATCATCTGCGTGGAAAGTCTCTTGCCAAAAAGGTTCTGGTCGTAGAATATAATGTAAATGCTCTATCTTCAAAATTAAGCGAACCTCAAGGTGCCTTTGAAATTGAAGTTTAAATAGACTTGCCTGGTTGGTAAAAAGCTCTAAGCCCAAGGAGAACTTTCAGTCCCTAAAACACAGTTATATTGCTTGACTATTTAAAATTTTACAGTGGACTGTGCAATAGGTGGGTTATCTCCTTAAATGTATGTAATGTCTGTCGTTTGAAAGAATTTTACTCAAGCCTAAGTATTAAAATGTGTGGGCACAAGTGTGTTTGTGTGTGTGTGCTTTATTAAAAAGTGGAGTCTCTTTTTGTGGTCTAATTACAGAAGACTGTCTTAAAAGCTGGACTGTTTAAATCACTTTGCACTTAAGTCTTACCTTCTCAGATCACTGATAAATAGAGGCGCGTGCTAAAAACAATAAATTGTGTGGTTGTACCTCAGTGTCAGGAGTAGATTGTGTATGTTTTTGAGAAACTGTAAAACTTTATTTTAGGTCAGCGTTACAGATGAGGACAGGTCTAAGAAAATGCAGGGGTGCCGACTCTTGTGCTTCTTACAGCACAAAGTGACTGCTGTGTGTGGGATAATTAGTGTGTGCCTGGCTTTCCACCCCTTCCCCCAGCTGTGACCCTGAGCCAAGTAGGAAGCCTTGTGCATAGTGGAAGGGAAGGAAACTAATTACTGTGCTGTGCTTTGTGTATTTGATTTTAATTAATTGTGGAAAGTATGCTACTTCCTGACAATAGCCCCATTTTCTTGGCTGAAGAGAATGAAGCTCACAGAGATTTAAAAAGTTCATCTTATGACCCACAGGTGGTAGGTGGTACTTTCAGCGTTTAAACCTATGCCAGACTACTTTCTGTCATGTGCTCATGAATTTAAGTGAAAAGTGCTAGGGTGCAGAATCCTTGTTTAGAATGTGAGGCCCTTGGTTAAATCCTTGGCACTGCAAAAATAATTTCAATTGAAAGCCAAGTTCTGATAATTGTTGATAAGATTTTCTTTCACATACCATAATCTGAAACTTTTAAAATAACTCAAGATTAAAATGAGTGGGATAATTTTTTTCTCTCACATTGTTTTGTAATTTACTGATGTTTACTAAATAATTCCTGGCTTGCTAAACACATAATTTTAAAAGTTTTAACATTTTTTATCACTACTAAAATGGCAAAATGAAATCACAACTTTTCATTTAAAGGATATTAATAAAATTCACAACTATGAACTCTAAATTTAATGGAGGAAACTAGATATAAAAATTATAGAAATCTGTCAGTTGATGAGGTTGAATCACCCTATGATCTCACACGTTGCACTATAAACGCTTAAAATGTTTAAACTAGTAAAAAATTTAAATATATAATCCACCCAAATTCCTGTAGACTGCATATGCAGTTTGTAAACTGAATTGAAAAATTAAAACCTCTACTTAAATTCAATGAGGCAGTTACAAAGTTTTCAAGAAGTAACTCAGCTAAATGAGTATTTTTTAAAGAATTTTTGAGAATTTGTTATTCCATGTGATTTGATCCGCTGTGGTCTTCAAATGGAGTTATTCCCTGTATTTTCCTAAGTGACTTAGCACTTCACGTTTAAATCCTAATCGGTTTTAGGTGCCAGGGGCCCTAGGTATTGAACCCGGGGCCTCCCGCATGCCCAGCACGCGCGCTCCCGCTGAGCTGCACCCTCGACCCCATATAATCCAATATTTTAACACAAAGGTTGCCTTTTACATAGGCTCTGGTATGTAACTAAATAAAAAACTTGGATCTGGTGACATCTGTACTAGCCTAACTCAGGAACGCGTCCGACTAGGGCGCCCCGAGGCCGGATAACCGGGAGGTGGCTGCGCAGCGCGACCCGCAGGGGCAGGAGCTCAGGGCGCGGCCGCGAGCACAGGGTGGCCTGGCACAGGCGGCGCCTCTCCCCGCTCAGCTGGCACGGCCGCGTCCAACCCGGGCACCGCCCTCAGCCAGGCGCTGGGCAGGGCGGGGTCCTCAGGACCGCGGGCCACTGCGCTCCAGCAGCCGGGTCGTGGGTGCGCGCGGCTCAGCGACCCTCGTCTAAGGCGAATTCGTCCCCGCTGCGCCCCCGCTGGCCGGGCAGGGCCGAGCGACCTGCGCTCCCGACCCACTTGCAGCTCGGTCCGTCCCGGTCCAAACCGCGCGTGCCCGAGAGGGGCGGTGCGCCCCACCCGCGAGCGCAGCCCGGACGTGCAGCGCGGCACGTGGGGGGCGGGACCCGGCCAGCTGGCGGCGCCGATTGGCTGTGCCAGCTACCGGACGCGGAGCTGATTGGGCGGGTGCTTCCCGCCTTCTCCCAACCAGGGCACGGCGGCCTTTGCTGAGGGAGCATACTTGACGCCTGGCGGCGGCGGTGGCCATGACGGTGGCGGGTCCTTGGCCTCGCGCGGGACCCTCTTCTGTTGTTGGGCTGCGCGGAGCGGCCAAGGGGGCCTTCTCTTGACGGCAGGGCACAGGTATGGAGAGCGCAGCTCCAAGCGGGCCTTGGGGCCGGGCGGCGGGCGACGACCGTTGACCGTTGAACGTTGAGGCGGGCCCGTTGTGTAACGGCCGCGGGGCAGCGGTTGCGAGGCCTCGGGCGGGGCGGGGCGCGGCGCCCCCAGTCCGAGGATCCCGCTCAGGGTTCGGTCAGGCGGGACAGCGGCCTGGCTGCTGCGGCCGGCTGCGTTTGGCGGGCGCTGTCCCGTGGCCGCCCGCCTGTTCGCACCCCGAAACCTGCGGCCGCGCGCCCGCCCACCCGAGGGTGCAGAGCGTTTCTCCGGTCCAGGCGCGCGTTTGCCGTATGCGTGCAGCCCTGGGCGGAGAGTGGGGCCGCCGCCACCGGATCGTTTATTAGCTTTTCCTCCTAAAAACCAAGTCCCTATATGGACGCTAATTTCTTTTCTTGTTTCCTTCGTTGATGACTTTTTTTGCAAAATTAGACTAGAAATTAAAACCTCCTTGTGAGCCTAACGCGCTTCTTGGCCATTTTTATCTTTGCTGTATGTCATGTTTCAGGGCATTCTGTAAAATACATTTCTTCCAGTTGTTTTGGTTGTCAGCACAAAAGTTTTTTAAAAATAGCACTGGGTTGACCTCCCCTGACAGCTGTTGGTCCCAGAGAATGAGTATAGAAATCTCTACAATGTATTTTAAGTAAGGTTTTAAATAAAGTTTTTAAATTATGAAATGTCTCAATCTCCACTTTCACTGCATCAAGATAGAAAAATATGTATAAAGCTATTTTAATGAAGATTGGCAAAATATCTAAATAAATGAATGTATTATGAATATTTGCTAATGGGGTGATGATTTTTGAGTAATAAAGACCTACAATAATTTATACATTATATGAATAAATATATTCCATACTTTTTCTCTTATTTAGGAAAATCGCTGTCATGGTAAAATTCTTTTACCTATTTTGTGTTCTACTGACGTTAATGACGTAAGGATTTAAAATACATTCTGAATATACCAAATTTGAGTATATATTTATAGAAACAAAGTAGGTGTCTTACCCTCCCCTTGCTGAGACACAGTACTTGACACCCATAGCATAGAGGAGGAGAGATTTCTTTTGGCTCGCAGTTTCAGTCCGTGGTTGGCTGGAGGAGGCGCAAACCATGGTAGCCAGGAACCATGGTAGCCAGGAAGCAGAGAGCAAAGGGAGGAACTGGGGACAACACACCCTTCTAGGTCACACCATCAGTGACCCGCTTCCAGATAGGCCCCACCTCCTATCAGCATGTTCACCTACTGGATTCTTCAGTGGATGAATCTGCTAATGAGCATAGCAACCCTGTGATTCAGTCACCTTCCACGCACGTGAAAATTTGGTGACATTTTAGATCTAACCGTAACAGTAGATGTAAAAGTTAATTTTATTTTAAAATTTTGGGAATATTAAAATTCTCTTATTAATATTAACCTTAAAATATTCAAATAACACTGAAATTGTTTTGAATAATTAAATCTTACTACTTATTTATTATTTGGTGGGGGGGGTCGAACTCAGGACCTTGCGCTTGCAAGGCAGGCAGTGGAACCACTGAGTACTATTTTTTTTTGGTACCTGGGATCGAACTTGGGTCCTTGTGCTTGCGCAGCAGGTGGTGAAACCACTGAGATAAATCCCTGGCCCATACTACTTATTTTTATAATGACAAACTTAGTCGTTTGTGATTACTTGCCAGCCAACTGCTATCAACAGAAACTCACTAGGAAAGCATTTAAGGTTAAAAAAAAAAAAGAGTTTGCAGACCAGGAAGAAGCCTCCTTGACTAAAAAATGAAATCCCCTCTAGAGGAACAAAGAGAGGCTGGCTTATGTAGAGGAAGATCTTCCCCAGCTTCCTATTTCAGTATGCTTATGCAAATGAGGGATCCAAGTGTGCTCATTCCTGATTGGTTTTATGTAACTATGGTATGCAAGGATACATTCCTGATTGGTTGACATTTACATATGACTGAAGGTCATAGTTCCTTAGTTAGGTCCCAGCAGCAAAATTAGAAGAAGGAGTTTTGGGAGAAGGAAATCCTTTTATCAAGGTTGTTGGGACAAAATGTCCTGGTAAAAGCTTCAGAATTTAACTTGTGATCCTTCTAGAGTACATATGTGACCCCACAATCAGCAAATGGTTATCAGGATCTGTTATTAATTTTATTTTTTAATTATGTTTACTGGTACAATTTATATATATATATATATATATATATATATATATATAAAATGAGCGAAACATTCATCATATGGAATTTGTGCCTGTATATGACATATCTTACTTTTTTCCATTCCCCTCCCTTCCCTTCAACACTTCTCCTTATTTGAAAAGCTTTGTTTCTATTTTATCTTTCTTTTCTTGTTTTTTCCCTTTTCCGTTTCTTCTTTTCCCCCCTCCCCCCTCTCTAATGCCCTTTCCCATTTGAAATATCTCTTATTCTATATTATCTATTATTATAATATCATATCTATTATACATTCTGGTCCTTGTTTACACTTTCAGTTTCTCACAGTAGAGAAACAATGTGATATTTACACGTGTGTCCAATTTATTTCACTTAAGAGTATGGTCTTTAGGTGCATCCATTTATCTATAAATGGTTCAAGTTTATCCTTCTTTATGGATTAGTAGTACTTCACTGCAGAAAAAACCCACATCTTCTCATCCATTCATCTGTTGATGGGCATTTGGGCTGTTTCCAAGACTTAGTTATTACAAACTGTGCTGATATGAACATGCGTGTCACTGGTATGATGCTTTTAATTCTTTCCAGAAGATACCAAGAAAGAGAGTAACTGGGTCAAATGGAACCTCTGGTCCTAGTTTTTTTGAGGAATCTCTGCACTGATTTCCACAGTGGTTGTACCAGCCCACACTCCCACCAACAGTGGAGAAGGGTTCCTTTTTCCTCATAGCCCTGCCGGCATATTATTGGTTGATTCCTTGATAATAGCCATTCTTTCTGGAGTGAGGTGGAATCTCAGAGTTGTTTAATTTGCATCTCTTAAATGACCAGTGATGTTGAGCATTTTTTTCATGTATTTATTTGCCATTTGTACTTCTTCATCTGAGAAGTGTGTGTTCATCTCAGATGCCCATTTTTAGATTGGGTATTTACTTGGGGGGTTGATTGTTTTCATTTCTTTAAATATTCTAGGTATCAATCTTTTGTCTGAGGAGCAGGTGTCAAAAGGGTTTCCCACTCTTGGTTGTCTCTTCGCTCTGTCAGTGGTTTCTTTTGCTGTGCAAAAGCTTTTTAATAAGATGAGATTCCACTTATTGATTCCTTGTAATATTTTCCATGAAATTGTTCATGAAATCTTTGCTTACCTATGTCTTCAAGACATTCCTATTCTCTCTTCCAGCAGATTTAGTATTTCTGTTTTAGATCTTTGATCTGTTTCATTTTTAGTGCATGGTGAGAGGTGGGTTTTGGAAAGCCAGTTTTTCCAGCACCATTTATTAAAGAGTCTTATCTTTCTTCTAGGGAAGGTGTTTGGCCCCTTTGTCAAAGATAAGGTGGATGAGTGTGTTTGGAGTTGTTTCTGCATCTTCTAATCTGTTCCATTGATCCTCAGGTCTCTTTTTTGTTTTTGTTTTTATTTTTGCCAGCACCATTCTGTTTTTATCACAGTACCTCTGTAGTGTAATTTTAAGTCAGGTATTAATTTTAGAGCCATTTAGCCACTTGGAGCCCTTCCTGGAGACTCAGCTTTTCTTAAAGTTCACACTACTATTGTAAAAAGTCCGTGTTACCTTCTTGAAGATTATGTCTAGCCTTACATATATATAAAATTATACAGTAGGCAATATTATAAAATGTTCCTCAGTCACCATGTACAACTGTTGCAGGTTACTATTTTTTCATTTGCTAGTATTTCTAGAGCTACAAATTGAAATACAAAATGAAAAAAATGAACATTTGCCACTGTTAGGAATTACTTCATTGTGGAAGAATCAACAGCATTCTTGCTCTGCTAAAGGACAGATTTCACCATTCATTAATATTTCTTTTTTCTTACATAAGCCCTTACATTGGTCAAATGCTACTTTCATTCTGAAACAGAGACTCAACTGTCAGCATTAGCAAAACCTACAACCATTTTTATATTCAATTGTGGTATCACATTTCCTCCTACATTGGGATCCCATTCCCTCCCTCCCATTAATTTTTTAATTGAAAATTTCTAATATACATAACATAAAATAGTGCAACTAATTGTAATCCCCCACTTTCAAAGGCATAGGCAAGGGAAGTGTTTCTCTGGGCATGAAGACTATGAAATGTATCTGTGGTTATAGAACTAGCTGGGCTGCCGCTAAATCCTGGATTCTAAGTGAGTAGAGATACTGTGTACCGTACTTTTTAGTGAGAGAGCATGGGAAAAAGGGGAGGAGGAGATTGAGAGAAAGAGAGACACAGAGCCCATGGCCAGATCTCTTTTGCTCTGTCTTAGGGTGGTAGTGGTGATTGAAAAGATATACTTTATGAATGTGTACTAAACCTGAGGCAACAGAACAGGGTAAATTGGAGCCATTGTAGTATCAGTATTGTATAACACAATTGGCTTATACACTACTCTCCATCACTTTTTTTTTTCTTTTCTTTTCCTCATTTGGTTCATTTTATTCTCTAGTCCCTATCGACACAAATCATCCATGTTCATATATCCAATATATGTATTCTGCCTGCTCTTTTTAATACAAATGTACACAAACATCTGTAACAGTATATAGCCTTTTATTGCATATAGTTTAAATTTTACATAAGGGCTTTCTGTATGTCTCATTTTGCAGCTTTTGCTTTTACTCTGTATTGTGTTTGGGATGTACTATGTTCTGAGGTATAGATCTTGTTAATTACATAAAACTACTGTATCCAGTTATATTATTATACCACATTTCATCTGTTTATTTCCTCCCCTGCAATACTGACATAGAGCAATTTTCAGTTTCTTTTTATTAGAAGCAATA